TGTTTCGGCAGCTTCGTAATCCAACACTGTTGAAGTCCTCAGCTGCTTCTACACCTGAAAATCCCGAGGTTGTTTCCTCGGGGAAAACACTCCAACGCTCAAGTCAGCAATACTCAATACTTTAGAGAGAGAGGCTCTCAAGGAGTAATTGCAGAGAGAGAAGCGTAGAGATTAATAGCCCCAAGTGCTGATATGTATCTGCACATGTAAGCCTCTCATTGGCCCACGTGGTGCTGCCCACGTGGGTATGTCTCCTCTTCTTGGGCCTGTGGGTGCGTAGTTGGGCCTGCTGCATGTGGCCCTAAGAGGGCGTTGGGCCTAATCCCAACACAGTGTTTATGGTGTAAATTGCTAAATTAATGTATATTCTCTATTCATAATGTATGTCACTGTACATACATATATACACAAAAGAACTATATCAGAATCGTAACTTAACTAACCTTGTGCCTAAAGTCTAGGAGAGTTATAACTGTACACAAATATGCTCTTGATTCCAAGAGATTTCTACCAGAAACTGTTTATACCAGATACTTTATACCAGATACTTTATACCAGATACTGTTTACTCTCCCCCTCAAGCTGGTGCATGAAGGTCATGAATGCCCACCTTGTCCTGCATCAAATAAAAACTGTCCTTGCTCAATGCCTTTGTGAAAATATCAGCTAGTTGATGAGAGGAAGAGATTGGTAATGTGCAGAAACAATACCAGCTTGAAATTTCTCACGCACCAAATGACAATCAATTTCCAAATGTTTTGTCCTTTCAGGAAAGACAGGATTGGCAACAATGTGGTGAGCTGCCTGATGATCACAGTAAAGAGGTGTGGAGCGAGATTGGCGAATACCAAAACTGTGTAATAAGTTGCGAAGCCAAATGACCTCTTTAGTGGTAGAAGCCATGTGAGTGCCGTGGGTCATCATGTATTGAGAAAAATTGTCATCTCTATGATGATCCACTATTGCTTTGAAATTTTCTATGTATCGAACAGGAAAAGGACCAAAAAAGTAATTGTTGAAGAGGTCCAAGATTCGTAACTTGGGAAAAGATGGACATTCTTTGGTGCTAACTACAAAACCATGGAATCCATTTGACCTTAAAACCAGCACTCTTAGATTTGCTATCTTGTTGTCCCCAAAGTTTAGAACCTCTAGCAAGCTACAATTCATCAAAGATCTTGGCAACAAGCCTTCCAATTTATTTCCATACAAGTTGAAACTTTGCAATCCATAACCCTCTGGAAAGCTAAATGGTATATCTCCATCAAAGTTATTGGCATGCAAACTCAACACGGAAAGACTTTTGCTCATCAACATTTGGAGATAGTTTGGAATCTTCCCACTTAAATTGTTAACACGATAAGATTTTTCAAATACTTCACAAATGACCCTCTCCATGCCTCTTATCTGCGAAGATATCTTAATCACAAAGGCAGATAAGAAATGTTATAAAATTGCATCGTTTGATGAAGTATTCCATAAGTTGATCAGTACAACTTCCAGTTGAAAGCAAATTTTGGTTCACAAGTTAGAATTACATCATTTTTTGTTTCACAAAAAATGTAAAGCTCTAAATGAACAGAAACCTTCTAAAGCTCAGCTAACTCATTGACATATAATTACATTTGACGCCAGATAACAAGCAAGCCAACAGGTAAAAATCTTGCTGCCAGGTAACAAGCAAGCCAACAGGTTTTACCTGGATTAGTAGACACACAGATGCTGACGGAGCATATAAATAGAAAAGTCCACGAGGTTCTGAAGATACTTTATTAGTCTGTCCAGGTAAAACCATACAAAAGTCTCTGTCATTGAGAATAATGCAGATAGACCCAAAGGGTGGTCAGAATCACACCTTGCTCTTTGAAAATCTTAAGAACCATAGAAACCTTAGGCCACGCATTCCTCAACAACAATGCCCACTGCTCAATCACTCCGTACTTTGCATTCACCAGTCCCTCCACCGCGAGCACTCTCTTGCATGCGAAAACCAAAAGACAACAAAGCATTGCCCCAATAAAGACTCCCAGCTTCAGCAAAATCTTCAGAGACTCCAAATCCAAGCCTAAAACCTCACCTTGGTCACCACCCAGATCATTGTTTTCTTCACTTAACGATGTCAAATGAACTCCACTGCCAATAGTGTCAAGTCTCCGCAATCTCAAACTGTAAATTCCCCCAAAATGGACGGATTGAAACAACTGGAGACTATACGACATGGGAAGTGATTACTTTTGGATGATAATTTTATTGAGCATTTCAAATTTCGATTGTGTTGCAAGAAAGACGAACACCTGGATCGAGAAATGGAGGAGGGTCGCTTGATAACCCCCACAATAGTTATAGGCTTATAGCTGAAGGAAAATGTTAAAAACTTCAAAAAAAAAATAAAAATAAAGATTCAAAATTGTATTCCCTTTCCCAATCCTATTCCACCTTGTTCCTGTTGGAACTGTGCGTGCTTGGTGATGAGGTAAAAATAGACATTGAGGGATAGGATTCATAATACGGGTATTGATGGATTTGCTGCAGATGGAACGGAGGAGATAGGATTCATAATAGAAGAGGAACCCTAAAGAGGTGAAAGTGAGCTGAGTTCGTGATGCTGATAATGTTCCTCCATCTCGCCAAAAGGAGGCTACTTCCGTTGCTAAAAGCCAGTGGGAGAGAGGAACCAAAGTCAAAATCACAGAACTTACCCTTCCCAAATTTACAATGACAGTTAAATCCTAGGAAGATAACCATCCAAAAATCCAGGTTCCACGATTATGAAATGATTCCATCAAAACAAAATCCCACCTCAAAATTCAAGCTTATCCTTCAGCCTGACAATGTAAAGCAATAATTTTTATGACCGTGCTAATGGAAATCTCAAGAACAAAACTGTAATGAACAAAACTTGAGATACCTCCATTGCCTATTTTCAAAAATAAAATAAAATAAAATAAAAAACTTGAGTTACCTTCGCTACTCATTTGATACCAACCGGCTTAAGGAAGCACATTAATAAAGAAAGATTAACAGCTTGAACCTTCAAATATATTTTACAATACAGAAAGACAAAATTACAAAGCATAATAAAGACAAGAGAAGGCTGACAATTTTAGACAAGCCAATGCCAGCCATAACAAGAACTTCAAACCGAAAAGCACTTATTCAGGAAACATTAAATCAGAAGCTCTAAAACAGCAACTCTACAACTACCTTCTTCTTTGAACAAGTCTTCTGGCTTTCCTCATCTTTCTTCCACTTTGACTTGGTCGGCCATCAAACAAAGACACAAACCATTTTGGTTTTCCTGTTCGGAAGACAAGATATCCCCATCAGCAGTCCAAAAACAACTCCACATCCATAGCCTAACACCACAACTCTCCAGTCAAATCTCCACAACTCATCTTTTTCTTGGAAGGAGCTCGGCGGTATCCCAATTCCGTCACAAGATTTTGACAATGGGAATCCACACAGTCCAATGTTTCCTTCATAAGAACCATTTCCAAAGGTGTTGAACTGATTGCCCTGTGGTATGCGTCCGACAAGATGATTATTTGAAAGATTCAATACAGAGAGTTGTGTCAAATATACCAATTCATCAGGAATTTTCCCCGCCAGCTTGTTGGAAGAGAGATCCAACCATTCCAGATTCGTCAAATTCTCTAGTGACGGTGGGATCTGACCAGTAAGGTTGTTATGAGAAAGATTAAGCCCTTTGAGAGAACTAAGCTTTCCGATGACATCTGGAATTTCTCCCTCAAACTTGTTATTTGAGAGATGAATACTACTGAATATGGTCAAGATTCCCTGCAGCTCATAGTCGAATCCCTTCCATGTCACAACCAGTGAATATTGATAAGAATTCGCTGGATAAGAATTCGTTGGCGCCTTCATGTATTCAGGGGAACCATCCTCTCCATGAGGGTCCATCATGGCTTTAAAATTTTCAATGTACCGAGTAGGCAAAGGGCCACGAAAATCATTGCTGGAGAGGTCTAGAACTCGTAACTTGGGAAAAGATGGACTTTCTTTGGTGCTCTGCACAAAACCGTGGAACTTGTTGGACCTTAAGACAAGCACTTGAAGGTCTGGTAGAGATTCCAACCAATGAGGAAATGTATCCTCTATGCT